CGTCCGCCTTGAGCGCCTTGATACGCTCCTTCGTAATGCGCTCCATTCGCTTCTGCTCCTCCTCCTCGGTGTACTGATGGAAGTTGAGCACCGAACGCCCGAGACGCACAATACGATCTTGGGCAGCGTGATTGACGGCGACGACTTCACGGCCGTGGGCGCAAATGACGTTGCGCTGCTTGCGCTCAAGCTGCTCGGTAACGCGTGCATCGCGGATTGTCGGCTTTCGGAAACGGCGAAAGTCGGGGCGGTTCAAGGGAAGGAGGGAGCCGTGGGTGAGGGTTTCAGCCACTTGAGAGCGGAGGAGGCGTTGCTTGTCGAGGAGGCGGAGGGATTTGAGCTCAATGAGAGCACGAATCTTTCCGTGCGAGGTATTGCTGATAAGAGTGGGGAGGGAGGCGGGATCGGGTTTGGTGTCAGTAGAATTCTCCTTGTCGCCCTTAATAATGTCTTGTGGGTTGAGACCGGTATCAAATCCACCGTCACCGATGGTCGACGGAAGGGCTTCGAGCTCTCGAATGCATTGCTGCATACGCGCCTCAATAAAACGATCCCGCTCTTCGATAATTTGACGAGCAGTCCTGTGGGCATGACGGTGGGGATTATCAAGCGTTGAAGACGGGTGGCGAAGAGTTTGGGGTCGACTTCGGCGGGTCGTTTGAGATGAGTAAATGGGTGCTTGTACGCGTTGTACGGGTATATCCCAGAGTTGACATCGTCTTTCATGAAGGGATATCCGATGTCTCGATCTCATGGTATTGTTGGGACATGGCTGGGAAGGGGTCAGCGCTTTAGGCGCGAGGAGATTGCACCGCACCGCGTCGTCGCGATAGGCGCCTACAGACGTCGTTCTCTTCCACGGGTTTCCTCCATTCTTTTGCACGCGCACGTCTCTTCGGCCTCGCCTTCGTCGGCGTCTCGGTCCCGGTCTTCAACGTCCTCGGATGTGCGTTTGTTGTTGCTGACGGTGTGAGTGTTGTGAATGACCTTGTTTGTCTGTCCTTGCGTACTCAAGTTTGCTCCTCTGTACACTGCTTCAAGCCAGATTATCCACAACATTCTTCCACTAGTACCACAGGTGAGTGGTCATCACAGACGCCAAAGCAACACTTACAAGGAAGGTATAAGTCATCCAGATGCCTACTTATTCCCTGGCAGACGTTGATGCCGCATTATCGAAGCCCCCCTCCCCAAGCGATCGTCCAGGAAAGATATACGGGCTGAGGGTGAAGCAACCCGACGGGACGGTGGTTTTGAAGGCCGGGAGGAGCATCGAGCCCCCGCGTCGCACTAGAGAATGGCAAAATCAGTGCCACAAGGACGAGATAACATTGTTGTGGGAAGTACCCACCGAACATGCGACAAAATTGGGTGCGTATTCATTATCGTTGCCCAAAACTTGACTCAGGAATTCAGAGGGCCTTGTACACCGTAAATTCAAGGCGAAGAACGCATGGATTCATCCATATTCATGCAGGTCTTGCTTCATTCGACACCGGGAGAAATTTGACGTTGAAGTCATTGGGGGATGGGCTGAGGCGAAGAATGAAGTCGTCATTTTGGCGGAAGAGATGAAGAAGCGCGGGGAGTAGGCCATTTGTAGTCGAGAATCTAGTTCGCTGGACAAAAAATGTACTTTACCGTGAAATCACACACAATTTTCGCAGAATAGAGGAGATAAAAATCGTGTTAGATTGCAATAGTTATACAAGATATACTTCCAAGAAAATTGCGCTCAAGGCCGTAAAGTAGCAAGAATATCTGCAGCACATTTTTCAATGGCTTCAGTATACGGCGGCGCTCTGCGTTCCAGTTTCAGGTTATGTTTCCATTGGGTGTGCGTGGCGAGAGTCCCCGGACCATTTTCAAGTTGTCGGAGCCGTTTCTGGTACCAAGTTTCCCACATTGGTGTCCACCAGCCAAAATTGATTCCTGATGCGGCAAATGAATGAGGTCTGGGCCACCAGGACAAGGTAGCCGTTTGTTCGCCATTTTGGAGGTTACCGTCATATTGACCTGAAAAGTGTGATCAGATTTGATAGGTGCGAAAGGAAAATAATATTTACCCGTTGCTACATGATAAACACCACAAATCAAGTCGACTTCTTCACCGGTAAGACGATCATCCCAATAAGCAGCCGTAGAATGACCATCCCATAGACAAATGCCGTCGATGAGAACATCGTCACTGGGTCCGCGGAGAACTTCCTCCGATGAAACTTCAGACCTCGCAAGACGGCCAATGATACCGCCGTATAGCAAAGCCGCGCGGCCACGGGCACTAAGCAAGAATCTACTGCGGACAGCGACGTATGAGCGGTAGTCTCTCATATCGGGTTTGTAGTTTAGTGGTCGATATCCCAACCCGGAGTAACCTCGTCTGCGGATGCCAGTGCGAGCAGACGACGTGCTTGTGGAACGACAACAAGCGAGGAAGGTTATCCCGCGAGCCAAAAGGCTCGTTACAACGTCGCGTAGGCTCGGGCCCCATCCCTGTCTTGCTATTTCCAGTGCAGTGGTCGCGCTCTGGACCAAAATGTGCAGGCTGTGGTGATTCTGCTCCGTCTCCGAGATCACATAACACAATTGATTATTGAGGACCTCTCTGCGGACGCTGACCGCCCAGTCGGAATACAGCTCTGACTCTTTTTGATGGAAATCCAGCAAATAACGAGGGATATCGTGCGGTGATTTTGCTTTCTTACAATGAGCGAGGAAAAGGCGAAAATGATCCAGTTGGTTTTCATCCGAGATATGAATCGCGGTATCGCCAAGAAACTTCTTGGCGAGTAAAGCCTCAGGGAGTTCGAGGGAGGTGGTAACCTTCTCTTGAGTTACTGTACACCCGAAACGTAGACGAACCATTTCCTTGAAAGTCGGGGCAATCAGCGCTGTGCTCGAGCCAATTTCCGTGGACTCAGACTCGGTTGCGATGGGATGGATTCGATCTAGGTCTGCCTCCGAGGTGTGTGACCCAGATGGCTGTAAAACAGCAGCTTCGGTGAGCATTTCAGATGGAACGTCGTCATCTTCCTGGCCATCGTAGCCACCAATATCGTTCCAATCCTCTTCTGGCTCAGCGGCGGGCCCAAACTGTTCACATACGTCCCATTCATCGTAGTATGAGTCGTATCGACGCTGTTCAGGGCCGTATTCTTCCCAAACATCCTCGTATTTGTTTCGGCCAGCCGCTCGACGAATGTATTGTCCATTTTCTTTCTCCCATACAAAACTCTTGCTCCCTTACGTCCCGGAACCTGTCCCTTCTGCGCATTGGCTTCCCTCTGCTCTCGACGGCGCTTGTTGTCCAGCGTTTCGGACGCGGCCGTCTGGGCGTTTTTTTGCTGTCGGCGAAGGAAAAAGGCATCGATATTTTCCCCTTCGCGCTGTCCACTATAGCGCTCGACAGGGGGAAATGGCGCGAGGGGAGGAGATGGGGAGATCGAGGATGGCGAGGGAGCTGCATCCATTGGTGGAGCTGCGTCCGGTGGTGGAGCAACGTATGGATGAGTTTCGCGGCAGGAGGTAAGCTGCATGTTCTTGCCCTCAGGTTGAGCAGACCTCCAGCGACTGAATGCCACTTGGCCTGGCAAGTCGCGCAAATAAGATATCTCCGCGGCATCAGGGACGAACTTCATCGACCTCAAGCCAAAAGGAACGAAAACACGGGGATACTCGCTGATTGAGCCCCACGTAATGTACAAGGGCATAGGGAGGCGCGTAGAAATGATTGCGGGGATGATCCAGTCAAAATCGCGGGGCATGTCGACAAGTTCAGGGAAGGAACCACGAGGGACACTGAAATCTAGTATTCCTCCAATTCGAGGAACAGAAAAGTCCCCGGCGGCCGACTCATGTAGATCGTTCAGCCACTAGCGATGCACGCCAGCAGCAACACACACAGCCTCTCTCCAATCTGGAAGGTCATGAACCGCAAGGACTTCCCCGGCTGAATCCCTCAGATAGCCCCGCAGCTCCATGTACCAGATGTACATAGAAACACTGCCGATGAGAGGCAGGAATCCGCGGATGGCACGGAAGATGGCGGTTCGAGCACTCTGTTCAGTGCGAAACTTGCCGAGGTAACCCCACCGGCTCGGCCAGCCAAATGGTACCATTCCCTTTGTGCGTTGTTTAGCAATATCCATCATGGCGTATAATACCCGGCGAAGGTTTATTTCGAGTGTCCACCATTCATCCGCTAAGGAGCTCGCCAGACCCCACCGTCCATTTCCGAATTGGATTATAGGAAGTCCAGATGGTTTGTAGTTGAGCCGATTGAGTAGCGGCCCATACCATGGATGTACGCTGGGTATAAACATGATATATGGGGTGGCAGGCGAAGCATAGGTCGGAGACGTGAAATTTCCGTGAATGGACGAGTGATGAGGTGGGGGAGCATCTTCACGGGTCGGCATTTTCTGGAGAAAGTCGGGCTTCCCGTTGTATACGCTGTAGATAACATCTCCTATGCGAGCATGGCCGAGGATAGGTTCCCCATCGAATAACTGAGAAAAAAATATTAGGTGGCGTTGGGTGGATGGAGAGCCAAGTCTTACAGGAAGGGTGGGATTCATGAGAGCCAGGATTGAATTCTACGAGGCGACGGCGCACCACGCAGTACGTGGGGTGATTGGAAGAAAACCAGCGCATCTACAAGGCGACAGCGCACCAAGCAAATGGCGGTGGGAGTTCCAGAGTGGGTGGAAGACCAGAGGGTCCTACAAGGCGCAAGTGCACCACGCAATACGTGGATTGAAGTTTGGCGGGTGATTGGAAGAAAACCAGCGTGTCTACAAGGCGACAGCGCACCAAGCAAATAGTGGTGGGAGTTCCAGAGCGGGTGGAAGACAAGAGAATCCTACAAGGCGCAAGCGCACCAAGCAGGTACCAAGCAGGTGGTGGACTTGAAAGAACTTGAGGGACGATCACGGGATTTATTGATGCTGCAAAAAATAATAATAATAATAATAATAAAAAGATCGAAATGAATGCGTATATCACCTCGCAGGGAGTCGAACCCTGGTTTTCGGAATAAACATTCCCTTATTGGAGGCAAATGATAATCCGATGCTCTAACCGCTGAGCTACGAGACCGTTGAGGAAATGGATGAGCTTGAAGACCGATATGGGAGTTGATTATCTCGGGACCGAGATAATCTGAAAAAAAAGAATGAAAATGAGGGTGTATATCACGGTCTCGGAGGGAGTCGAACCCTGGTCTTCGGAATAACATTCCCGAGTTAGAGATAATGATATCCAACGCTCTAACCGCTGAGCTACGAGACCGTTGAGGAAATGGATGAGCTTGAAGACCGATATGGGAGTTGATTATCTCGGGACCGAGATAATCTGATGAAATCTCCGATTATCTCGGATCGATCTATTAATTAGTGTCACATGGTCAAAGTTTGAAGTCCGTCTCTTTTCTTCTTCTTACCACCACGAACTGCCGGAGTGTATCGCCCCAGCAGTTCTCCCTCACTCTCCTGCCCTGTTGTGGCCTGCCGGGTGCCTGTTGCCCAGTAGGATAGTAGGATACGACTCGAGACGCAGGCTCAGCGCCGCCTCTGTCCAGCTGTCCAGCGATAATCGCTGGGCAGATGTATTTGGAATAGATGGGGTGTGGTTGACTTGTGGCAACGACAATGTTCCCTCTGCTTGAAGGTGCTCGAGTGAGAGCGAGTGCTGAGTGTTATCTTGGAGGCGGTGGACTTACGACGGGAGTTGGGGCGCCATCGCCCTCACGTGAGGATATTTGTTTGATCCGTCTGGCTTTGTTTAAATTCCGCTGAACATACCCGGTAGCTCTTGTCTCTGAACCACTACCACCAGAGTAGAGATGCCTCAGAGGAAGAAGTCGCCCAGTAAGTCCTCGACTACTCTACTCTGTTCACATCTTGATTCCCAATGTTTCCTAGCGCGATCAAGCACAAAGGCCGCGACCAAGACCAAGAGCGCGACGACCTCAAGCACAAAGGCCGCGACCAAGACCAAGAGCGCGATGACCTCAAGTCGCAAGAAGGACGGCTCATCCGTTACTTCCCAAGATGGCGCGTCTCTCCTTACCTACATTAAACACGCGTATTCACTGATCTTCTAGCTTCGACTCGGTCGAACAATGGGCGGAGTAAGTCGCGACTCGACGTATCCTATTGGTTCTAATGCATTTTTCCACAGGTGCGTCGAAGCGCAAGGCGCAGGATGATGATCAAGATGAGGATGAGCATCCTCCCCCAGCAAGAAGGCCAAGAAGATACTTAAAGACACGAGTGAGTCTGCAATTGTTATGTTTAAAACACTAGCCTGACAGACGATTTATAGGCAACGTTGGTGAGTCATTTGCTCATCTAGCCGAAGCACATTACCGACGTCTTGCAGCTGATCGTCCCGTCTCCCAAGATGGACGGCAGAAGCGCACTCAGAAATCAACCATGTCGCGGTTGATGCGCGAGGGAGATGCCATCTACGAGAACCCTCCGAAGCCGACAGCGAAACCAACAATACCGACGGATGTCCCGGACAACGACCAAGCTCCCCCCCTCCGAGGAAACCAAAGGTTTCGCACACACGAGGACCATTGGATGCCGAGGCACCCCTCCTCCAGGACGCGCCCCGTCCAGTGCGGGAGAGAGCTGATCGCCCAGCGGTGGGTGGATCCTTTCACTACTTGAGGGTGCTTTATATTAACTTTTGATTAGATTGACCGCCCGGTTCAGCGGACATATCAGGCCACAGGCCGCACCGGTAATTTTTCTTTCCTTTTCTTCTTTCTTCTATGTTTGCTGACTACTTGTACAACCAGACCAGGGACCGGACCAGGGACCGCCGGTTGATCACGACCGACGGTCCACATTCTCCAGTGGCAGAAATAGTTTGGCCGCTAACAGGGAGGAGGCCGCCGACCGCACCGGTAATTTTTTCTTTCCTTTTCTTCTTTCTTCTATGTTCGCTGACTACTTGTACAACCAGACCAGGGACCGTCGGTTGATCACGACCGACGGTCCATATTCTCCAGCGGCAGAATTAGTTTGGCCGCTAACAGGGAGGCGGCCGCAGACCGCACCTGTAATCTTTTCTTTTCTTTTTTCTTCTTTGTTCGCTGACTACTTGTACAACTAGATCAGGGACCGACGGTCGATGACGACCAACGGCCCACAATCCTCTTACGCCGAGTTGATTTCGAGAACATGGACAATGGGGCCGCAGGCCGCACCTGTAATTTTTTCTTTTCTTTTCTTTGCTTTTTTCTTTGTTTGCTGACCACTTGTACAACCAGACCAGAGACCGCCGGTCGATCGCGACCGACAGCCCGGATTCTCCTTGGGACTGTTTGGGGGAGCTAATGATCAGCGCCAAAACCAGCAGAACCCTCCTAGGCGCGACGGCAGTCAGTTCGATCACGTTACCAACCGAGGAAGCCCTACACAGGACCACGACGAGGAGTCGGACCAATGGCAGAATAACAACGATAATCGAGACGGACATCCGGAAGACGACGACCAGGATTACCAATATTCTAATAACGGTGCACAGGATGAAGATGAAGATGCTAACAGCATCAACAGCGAGAATCTTGACGACGAAGGTGAGTTAATCTAGTCATGAGTATTGTGTCTGATTTATACGCGCATTAGAGCCAGGAGGCCAGCGTGCCGATGATGACGACGAAGATGATGGTGGGTCTTGTCTTACTATGCATACCGCCTCCGACACTAACACATTGGGTCCAGGCAACGAGTCCTTTGGCAATGCTGATGACGGTGAGTGAGTCTCGAGGTGCATACGGTATCTGATACAAACACATTAGGAGCCGCGGACTATGAACGTCGTGGACGCAAGGAGCGTCGTGGCGGCGACGATCGTCGGGCTGAGGGTAAGTGCCTTACACCATCTTATTCCTTTTCTCATATTCCGCACAGTTCCTGGGTCCGATCGGATTGTCGAAGGTTTGTTTCTTAGTCAACATTTACTGGACCCATTCTGATTAGCTCAAGATGTCGTGGCTAAACACCGCAAAAAAAATAAGGCCACGCGACCCCCCAACCCCGCCCAACTCGAATTTTATCGTAGACTTCAGCAGGACGGGCGTGACGACGAAGAGGTGGGAGGTGAAGGAGACGACGACGACAACGACAACCGCGACGACGACGACCGCGACAGCGACGACCGCGACAACGAGAGCCAGGACGAAGCGTCTGGAGGGGGGAGGAAACAGCGAACCCGGCGATTGGATAGTCCACCACCAACCCAAATGGGCTTCTTCGAGCCCGTTTGGAGGCAGGTGTTGGAGAAGGGAAAAGGCAAAGGAAACCACTACCTAGTATTGCGTAACCTTTTCCCTGACAAGGAAACGTTCCTCGACCTGGCACGAAGGGAGTTCTTGACCGAAGCGATTGCTGAGGTTGAAGACGAGCATGGAATAGATTTGGACCGAGGTGAGTAGTTGTATGAATTCAGACAATAACCATTATTGAACACACGGCCTGTAGCGTTTTATCTAAAGCATCAGTCCGATATGGTCCGAATCGTCAGCCATTCCTTCCTTCTTACCGTACTTGTACTGAAATATCTAGTTATGGGATGAGGTCTCCCATTACCGAGGGGAGAGCAAGACCTCCACGCGGCCTGCATTTCATTTGTACAACACCAAACCGGACTATGCCCGATTTGAAGGTCGGGGGTTCAATCAAGAAGAATGGGTCCAAGCGACCGCCCAGAAGATCGCCGACCTGATCAGAAGTTCGGAGTTTCTCCACAACGGCCGGGATGCTGATGTATCCTTTTTATTTATATCGTTAATGCGCCGCTCATTTCTTTTTTTCCAGGGCCACAAAAATAATTTCATGTCAACTGGGCTTGAATTTTCCGTCGAAATTCTCCTTTTTGGGAGGGCGGGTTCGCGTGGCGACGCCATAGCTACACAATACCCTCAAGACTTTGAAAAGTATAGCGACCACGTCATGGCCGCCGGGGCCACTGTGGTAAGCTTTAATTAATCTGTTTATATCGTCAAGTGTTAACGACGATACCCCAGCTCAAATCTGTCATGGATGAGTGGGCGACCGGCCGCTGGGCCAACGTAGCCTTTAAAGCCAGCGAATATTCTCGTTATTACAAACTCTGCCTCGCGTTGATTGACAAACTCAAGAAGAACCCCCGTGAGTGGGGCAAGACTTCCGAGGAGTGGAGCCGCTGGCGGCAGCGGGCGTTCGCTTCCCGGGGACTGATTGACGAGGACGCTATAATGGAGGACACGAACCTCATCGACATCGATCTTAGTTGATATATATACTAGTCTGGACAATGGTTGCTGAATACGTATCTTGTTTAGATACGTCAATTTCTTGGTATTCAATGTATCTTTCGTGGATACGTCAAATTATTTGATTTCGTGCTCTTTATTGGCGAGATAAGACAAGGATGAGGACAATCTGATGTTATATGAGTACTAATTTCTGATATTCGACGCCCGGTATATTGGAACTAATGAGCCATATAGTATTCTAGAGCACTATATAGGACGCCTAGATGACTACAGAGCACTACAGAGCACTATATAGTAGGGGGCCCCTACTATGGAGAACTACAGATTAAATACCCTTCACTACAGGCACTACAGGCACTATAGACGCTATACGCACTCTGTAGTACTATGTAGGACTCTATAGCCGGCCCAGGATTTGCTGATGTTGCCGCTGCCGGCCGATGTGAGGACTGCGAGGTCTGCGCCACGGACGCTGTGCGGGGAGTAGATGACGGTGGCGAGCGTGCTATCGTCGCCCTGCGTGAATAAGATGACGAGAAAGGAGTGGTAATAGATGGCGTTGCCCGCGGTCACGACACGGCCAATGCCGGGAGGGCACGCGTCGTCGGCCCGAGGCTTGAAGTGGTGCGATCATTTGTTATCTTTGTTGATCGTGATTGATGTGATTCCAGTGGGACTGAATCAGAAAACGCGTCCCATCGCGTCCACAGAGGTCCACAGACTTGCAAAACTTGTACTCACTGTCAAGGAGGTGAGCAAGAAGGAGACTAAAGAAGTGCAGAACGCACGTAGGCAACACGTAGGGATAATCATGAATGGCGCTCGCCTAATTTCGGGACGTCTCAACCCTCGAAGACAAAATTCGGAATCGACGGAAATGCTTGGCGGTACGAGGCACTGATTACTGAGATTTTGCCCGTGATGTGCACGTTCTGTAGCTTGCAGCCGGACTTTAATATAAACAACGCCAGCGAGTCAGTGGGGTTCGTGCCAAGGAATTGCTCCGAGATTTCGAGACTGA